ATGGTTTTAGTATTGGAATCAGAAAATGAGGATCGAAAACGAATAAAGTGGCTACTAAAAAATTGAGCATTGAAAATGCTAATGATGACTATTGAAAATATAAAAATGAGTATTGAAAGTATGTAAGATGAATAATGAAAAAAAATCAATCAAAATATTTTTAATTCCAACTAAGAACCATGATCTCTTTTCTGAATTTCATAATTTTATTATATTTAATTATAATTAATATTCTTATAAAGTCTTTAAATATCATTTTCTCAACAAAATGTTATGTTTGAATCATATATAAGCGATGACTAACAGATTAATGAACCAAATTCCATAGATTTGATATTTGCATTCACTTTTCAAACATAATTTTTAAATAAATCATTACAAATTCACAGTCGTCGAAAATCCAGATAAACACTATTTTTATTTTGTTAACAAATACAAACTAATTTTTAAGATAGAACAAATATATAGGCAAACTTATTCTGAAAAATATTATTTTGAACTATTTAAAATTTGAAATTTCAAATCTTGATTATTAACCAATTAAATGAAATTATTTATTCACTAAACATTATTTTATTTACTAATAATCTCAATAATAACATATCTATTATAGTGTATTGAATAAACCAGTTAACTTCATTAATATTTTTCTCTAGTTAGGCCTTATTTTTTTTAAAAAAAAAAAGTTATGTTCAGGTTATACCTCCTTATGATATTATTAGGTTGTCCAGATATGAATAAATATAAGAGAATGTGAGAAGTCACATATCAAATAAAATTGGGGGTCAATAACTAATATAGAACAAAAAGAAATGACCCATAAATTTGAACTTTGAGGTTTTGAGTTAAAGTGTGATATTTTTCCGCTACTCTTGTCTATTTCTCCTTTTTCCTTGTTTTTGGGCAGTCACTACCCATTCATAACCAATATCTAATTATAATGAATAAAAGTTGGGTGCAATTCTCTTTTTTTTTTTTTTTTTTTTTTCCGGTTACGAGTATAGGTTTCAGTCCTTTCGTTGTCATATCTAAAAAACCTAGCCACATGTAATGAAAGTTTTTTATGATAACAAATAGTACAATTTAATGAGATTTAGAACGAAAAAATAACTCTTTCCTTTCACTTAGCTGCATTTGATTTCATCTTTTTATCTTTTATTAATGATTATTAGTTCTTGAATGAGTGCATTAATTTCATTGATTCGTACAGTAACGTTCTAACAACCATTAAGAAAAAAATCCAGACGTAGTGATTACATCTAAACGAAATCTGTTGGTAAGCCCAAAACAAAATAAAATCTGAACGAAATATTTTATCACTTTATAAATGGCTGACTTAATTTCATTAATTAAAACTATGTTACAAAATATTCTAAAAATGGCAAAAGTTCTAAAGATCTTAATGTCATAAAAAATTAAAGTGAAATGACAAAATTACCCCTTAACATTTTTCATCTAACTTCATTTGCAACTCAATTTCTTTTATTTGTTAGTGATTTATAAGAAATTTGCAACTAAATTTTTTAATAGGAAATATAAAAAGTTAACTAGATCAATTGTTTGAAAGTTTTTTGCAACTTGAAACCATGTTTCTCGTATTTGATATTAATTTGTAACCTGGCTTCTCTACTTTTCAACAAGCAATATTGAAAATTAATTGGCTAGATCATATGTTTGAAAGTTCCATGGGTTGATGGATATTTGTGTCCCTCAATTATTTGTGCAAAAGCATTTGATATATTATTTTTTTGTGGTGCATTATTCAGCTTAAATAATTAAAAACAGTGTAATATTGTACTTGCTATTAACAAATATTAACGTTAGTTAAACTAGGAAATTACAAATACAAGACCATGTAAGTGAGTTGTTTAATGGAAATTATATGGAGAGTTCAAATTTTGCCAAAGACTCCACTGTATTAATGCCATGGATTTTGCTTCCTTTGGTCATATCAATGATGAGTTGTAAAGTGACTAGGAAATTTCTCATCAATGAATTTTGTAGGCTTAACAAGTGCTATTACTGTAAAGTTTCGTGAAGAAAGCAGTAGAATATAGATGCATTGGTAATATTTTTAATTTATTTTTATTAATTCATATGTGCACTCATATTTATTTTTCTCTAATAATAAAATATGCAATCATAAATGTTAATTAGAATACTCAATAAATATTTATTTTCCTATATTACTTATAACTTGGGACAATGTCTGTAATTTTTGGGGGTTTAATGTAATTTTATAAGTCAATTAACAATTAAAAGTAATATTTATTAACATTAAAGACAACATTGCATCATTTTCAAATATAAAAAGGGGACATTACCGTACAAAAAATTTAGAATATCATACGCTACTGCATGTACAAATAGTTTAGATATAAAAATGTCTTTTAATCCTTTTATATTTTCATTAAATTCAAAACAGTGGCGTTCAGTGAATGCATATCAATATTGTCTTTTCTTTTCTCAACTCAATACTGTAGTCATGGAGAGAAAAAAGCAAGTCATGGACTGTGACAATTCATCATTTTTACTCTTGTCCGCGTTTTCATTAGTGAAGTGTAAAATCAACTATTTATGCTATGAAAAAATGGCACCGTCAAGGAGATTCTTTTGTGTGAAAAGAGAAAAGAAAATTTTCCAGTCATATTATTCCAATAACTTGATGATTATTGATGTGGCCAAAAAGAAAAAGAATCTTATCATTTTTATTCATGCTCATTTATTTCCAGGTAAAGTTAGCTTATAAATCCTTGACATAAAGAAAGTGGCACAATGTCAATAATATCGTCTTAGTTAAAGTTAGAACGTTCATATAATTGCTTCCCCCAGTCCTATTTATAAGATATTTAAGATATTTTTCATGTATTTTAAGAAAAAAGTTATTATGTTGCTATATTTATTAAAAAATATTTCAATATTTCAATTATGTCCTTATTAATTAAAGGAAGATAATGAGTCACCTTATTATTTATACAAATGTTTTCTCATGTTAAGGGTATTTAGCAATGTTTGTTATTGTTTCCTTTTGATACTGATTTCAAGTTTGATCCTATTTATTTCAACTTTGATCCTATTAATTATACACACTTTAATAACAAACTTTCTCTCACCAACATTTAATTGAGGGTAAATGAGGAAACTTTTGATAAAAGATTAATGAAATGATTTGCAAATAGGATCAAAAAAGATTTTCTCTTTCTATATTATAAATAGAACCGGATGGAGTCCATGTTGCTTTCATTTTGGTTATTCGGTAGCTTATGGAAATATTTTCTTGTAAGAGTATTTTTTGGTTTGAGAATCAAGTTGTTAAAGTAACTTTGTAACCCATGAGAGGTTTTATAAATGAGAAAAGAACTATGAGATAATTCCCCCCCCCAATAGAGTTAAGGAAAAAAGAAGGAAATTCGAGAACCATGAAAAAAAAAATATTTTGTGAGATTTTATGATATTTGTATATTTTTATAAATAATCAGATTTTTTCAAAAGGCATATTTCTAATTATTTTAAGATGCTAAAAAAAATGTGTTGCAAAAGAATGTCATTAACAAGAGGAGATACACAAAAATATCATGAAATTTTAAATTTATCAAATAATAAACCAATTTTTATAAATAGAAGCCACCAATATATCATAAAATAAAAAAGTAACATTTTATTATTGCAACTAAACATAGAATGATTATTTACATTTGTATCAACAATAAAAAAAAAGAATGATTATTTACATTTCTTTGGATTGCATATAGGTATTATTACATTTGAGGCACGGTTGAGCACCAAACGTGGGCATCTCTTCTTACTGGAATTCGAACTATAGTTCATCATGTTGTAAGAGATTAACTTTTTTTGCTAGATCAAACCCCACTTGGTATCAATCATTTACTTTGCAGTCTTAAAAAAAAAAAAGGTCCTTAGAAAATAACAATGAGGATGATAAAAGCATATTCCATGCACCCACCGAAAAAGAAAAAAGAAAAAGAGAAATCAAATTCTAATCCGTCAAGAGCTTGATATTTGATAATCCCTAATTTCTGTGTTTATAATCTGCCAAAAACAATTTGATATGCCAAATGACAAGCCAAAGATATTTTTCCCTGCCTTCATGTTCCGGAAATTAAGAAAAGTTTAATAATAATTTATATTAATTAAATCTCTTTTAAACATAGTGGTAGCAATTTCGATTATTTTAGTTCAAAAATTGTTCTTTAATTATAATTTTGTGTATCTTTTAATTACTTGTTTGGAATAAAGAAATTTATTGGATATAAGAATAAGAAATGGCAATGTGTGTTTGGTTGGCAACAATTTGATAGAGGGAAAAACTTATATTCTTAACTTTATGTACTTAAGATGCTTGTTTCCAATTAAATCAAGACATATTAATCTTTTGTAGATTATTTAATTCATAACTAACTCTTGTTTTTTAATATTATTAACTCATTAAAATTCACTTATTTTAATTTGATTTGATAAAAGTATATTAAGTATTTAAGACTAAGTATCTAAGTCTTTCCCATTTTGTCATTTTGCTATACTTTACGTTTCGTCTTATCTTTCTATACTTTACGTTTTTAATCAAGTGAACTTGAATGTCTTAAGCGTAGAAAAAGGGGCACAATAATTCCAGTCTTACTTGAAATTATCTCCAAAATTTCTTATTCATTTTTTCTTTCTGTTCTCTTTCTCTTAATTTATGATTCTTTTTTTCTTCCTTTTTGTAGAAAACTTAATGGCTAAGATTTGAGCAATCTCATCGTTACCTCCCTTCGGTATAACTCATTTTCAATTGCGTTCTCCATAAAAACGAAAACGATGATAGTTTATTATATTGGCAAGAATTTGAAAAGTCCCCTTTGTTTTCTCACCATAAATATAAATGTTTTTATTAGATTCTCAATTTACGTTCTGTTTTTATTATCATTGATGAGCAGTGTTTATCAATCTCAAAGTGTATTATATATATAGCATGACCTAACCGTCCTCTTCAATCCAAAATGACCAACCTTTGGTTTCGTTTTTCCTCCTCCATGTTCTCAATGCTTTGCTGTCTCGTGGTCTGCCCAACTTTGTGTCACACCAATTTCACCAAAAATGATGAATTGGCACTTCTTGCTTTCAAATTTTCTGTGAGAGACCCGTTCAATCACTTGGCCAATTGGTCTAACTCTTCCTCCATTTGTGATTGGGTTGGGATTACTTGTGATGCTAATGGTGAGAGAATTAGTGTACTGAATCTTGCTGACATGAGTCTCATAGGCACCTTGCCCTCACAAGTGGGGAATTTGTCCTCCCTTGTTGAACTTGACCTTCATAGTAACAACTTTCATGGTGAGTTACCAAAGGAGTTGCAGCAGTTACACAAGTTGGAAATTCTCACCCTGAGCTATAATGAATTTGACGGAAAAATTCCAGCTTGGATTGGAAGTTTATATGCTCTTCAGCGCCTGAATTTTCGTAATAATAGTTTGGGGGTGTTATTCCCCACAAGTGTATCGAATTTGTCAAAGTTAGAGACATTGGATTGGACTTCTAATTTTATCCATGGATCCATTCCACTTGAGGTTGGAAGGCTTCAACATTTGAAGATTTTACTTATACAAGTGAACAATCTTTCTGGAAAAATACCTCCAACTATTTCTAGCTTATCCTAACTTGAGCGGATGTCTTTGTCATACAACTATTTAACAGGTATGTCTTTCATAGTATCATAAAAATTCATATTTCTCCAATCATGTCAAACAATTTTTTAGGTAGTAGTGGATTTGGATCTTCTTCATACTCTACCTCAATATATACATCCTCCTTGCCTAATCCCATTCATCCTCTTAATTATTTTTTTGATTTATTTATGCGAGATTGCTAATTATGATAAAATAAATAGATTATTCACTATTGTCATTTAAATAGTTTTGAAAATAAGTTCATAATACTTATTTATGATACTCATCAAATGAATAGTATATTTATTTTAATGTCATAATTAACAATTTGATACCATTAGATTAACCAAATGAATAATTAACTAGACGGATGGGATTTGGTTTGGAGGAATATTGCATTGAAGTGGGTATGGAGAGGATCCAAATCCGTAGTGGTGTGTCTTAGGATAAGCTATTTACAATAATTATTTATAATTTTAATTTTCTTGGGATACTGGAAACTTTGTCACTATGCTTTAAACACACAATATAGTGTATTATCACTCTATTAGTTTTCTTTACATCGTCAGCACCAGGTATTTTACGTGCTTTTTGTTAGTTTTTGTCCTTTCCATTTGGGTTCTTTGAGCCATAATACATAGACTAAAGTTGGGGGTAAAAGTTTGTCTAAATAAAATTTGGAAATTAAAATTAGGATACATGTCAATCTCTACAATGTGATTTATGTACGCACGCTCTTTGTAAAAAGCCAGTTTGACAATTGAAGCTCATTTGGTTTATTTATTTGGAAAGTAAATTTACATGTAGTGTGACAGAAGAGGACACGATTTTTTATGACATGTATGTATGTATGTATGTGTGTGTGTGTGTGTGTGTGTGTTATAATTATATAATTTAATTTGGTAAATCTAAGAAAAATATTGAAATTATAATTATAATCATAAAAATTATAATAAAAATATTCAAATTATATTTTATATTTTAACATATCAATATATATATCTATTGTAATCTTAATTTCCTTGAGAATTTAACCTGTTGAAAGCTTTCGAATATAAAGGGGTCAGAGAATTTCTGCTAGGTCTCTTGCAAGGAAATTTTCATTAAATTGTAAAGGATTTGAACGGAATCAAAAATTAAGTTTTTTTACTTCAATCCAATTTTAATAAAGGAAGGGTATTTTATTAAAAAATTATTTTAGTATATTATTTTTATTTTTAGTTCTATAAAAAATTATTGGGATTTATATAAAAAATTTCTAATTTTAAATTTAACTGTAATTAGGTACCATAGATGATAGACCCAACAATAATATCCCGAGAAACTTTTGAATTCAGGTATTGGTTTTCACTTAATCCACAAGACTCCTTTATCTTATCAACTTTAATTTTCTCATATTTTTGATTTAGTTTTGTAAGTCCTATATAATTAAAAAAATTAAATAAAACATATTTAAATAGTTTTTTCGACCCTCTTTAAATAGTCAAGTATACAAGTTTTTCAATTAGGATTGAAGCTATTTTTATCAACACAAATAATTTGAATTAAATGTTGGCCCGTAAATGTCGTTCAAGTGTAAGGGAGCTATACTTCCAATAGTTTATTAATTGTGGGGCCTATATCAATTTTATATTAAAAATTTATAAATCACTATAAATTTTCAGATTTAAATCTGAAAGATTTTAACTCTAAAGAAAGTATGCAATTCAAATAATCAACATTGGAATTTTGTTTGAATGAATTACATGGTGAATGAGGATGTGGTGTCTTTAATGCTAGATTAAGACAAGTGATCAGAAACTTGATATTCAACTCCATGCAAAACGGGTTCTTCTTTATGATTTATTTTATTTCCATTTTCTTTTAAATGCAAATTCAAGAGTTATTATATCTTGATCACAATAACTTTAAAAGAATGCATTCATAAAATTATTTTTGTTAGTTAGTTTTTTAATCATAATCATTTTATGTGAGCACTCATAATAATGCGGTTTTTTATTTTATTATCATATTGCAGGAGATATTCCCAAACAATCAGTGCTCTCACAAACCTAAAAATTATAAGCCTTGGTGTTAACATGTTGTCTGGCCAAATACCAAGAAGCATTGAAAACTTGACTATGCTTCAGGAATTATATCTCGATAACAACAACTTAGAAGGTCCTTTCAACAAATCATTATATATAACTTTTCATAAATTTTGTTTGTTATTATTGGTTCCATGATGAATGGTGCATTCCTCAATTGCATCTCTGTGATATTGTTTAGAAATATTATTTTGTTATAATTAACTCTTCTTTTGGCTTAAAAACGTAAGCGAGCATACAATATTGTTATTGATTCTATGAAGATTTTCAATTTCAACTCCATATCTTCCTATACGGGTATTTGAATTATCAAAGTTAGCACATTTTATGCATTATGCATGAAATCAACTTTCCAAAAGTATGCTTCATAGCTTATTCAAATTAACATTCCTGACAACATTAATGTTTGATCATTCTTTTATTGTTATTTTTCAATGATATATTGGTGATAATAATTTTTTTTTAATTTGAGAAAGATAAAATATTTGAATGTTCTTTGCAATCTTTTATTAGCTAGCAATGCAAATTTTTCACGTCACATGTTTTATAGAATTCCTTGCATAGTTACAATAAAACCAAGTAAAACTATTCAAATAATTACTATCTTGATATTTTACTCAATTCGCGGGTCGCCAAGTTTTTGTTAATGGTGTTCACATTTGGGACTTGGTTGTAATTATCCCAATATTACTTTCTTAATACTCCCTTCATTCAGTATTTTAAACCGAGTTACACCCCCAATATGTTAATTACTTGTATTTAAATGAATATTATTTTTTCATGTTTGTCATTGTTTAATAGGTTATCTCACTTAAAGGTGAAATGGTTGGTTGGTTTATTTATTAAGAGTATTTTTGAAAAAGAAAAACTCATCTATTATATATTGAAAAACTAAAAAATGCTTTATGCTTTTGAACATCCAGCCTCAGCAAAAATACCTTATATTTTTAAATGAAGGAAGTATATGACATTTTTAGTAATTCTCGTATACTTGGCACTTATATTCTGCAAATTAAAGACTTGTACAAGCTGCCATTTTAGCCAAAACATAACCTTTCTCTCATTTGCTTGCTTACTTGTAGGTTTAAAGTAAGCATATTATGTGTGTGAGATTTTTCTTTATATATAAATGATTATATAAAAATAACCCATTAATTATTGTTCTTTTAAGTGATGGCGCTAAGGACATGTGTCTAAAATGTAAATTTTGTTTTTGCCTGATGCATAAGAGGACATGCTAGCCATGTTTAGCCCTTCGTTCTATTTTGCCCACTCTTACGTCATCTACTATATTCTATTCACCTTTTATATCGGATATGTATGTCTTTCATTATATCAGATACATTCATCTTTTCTCCTAATCATTTTAAACAATTTTATAGATGTTAGCGTGTCTTAGGATAAGTTATTTACAATCTCCTATTCAACATTGATTTTGTTGGAAATGGTAAGGGGATATATATATTGATTATATATTTTAATTTTGTTGCATATTGGAAACATCGTCACTATGCTCTAGACACATGATAGTGTTGGGTTTTTGGGTGCACATGCATCGGAATAAAGTTAAAAATTTCCCAAAACCTCCAAAAGGATCCATCGGCTTTGCTAAAATTGAATAAGAGATGGTATAGAACTTCTCAATTTGTTTGAGAGATGCAATTTTGCAATCTCCATTTAGCAGCTCAAATGACAAGTGTTGCTCCTTGAATGAACACCCTCTACCAATATCCACACAAATGGGACCACGAACACAAACAATGTACTAGCTCCTTATGTGATGTTGAACAATACTTAGTCATTGATATCCAAAAGGCCACACATATTTTGGGTGTGTGACTTTAGTGAAAAATACCCTCTGCTTTACTGTCAAGTTTTTCTCTCTATATAGGTGGTTTTCAAGGTTTTAATCATTTGAAAAACCCAAGCCTCCTTATCTATATAAAGGTGGGCTTCTAAGTCTCATTGAAAAGCTCTAATTTAATTTAAATCACATATTTAAATTAAATAATATTATATATACGAATTTTATATATTAAATATATAAAATTCGTCCTCCACCCGCTTAAAAGGAGATATGATATTATTCTCTTATAAAATATCTGTTTGAAAAATTATGTATATCATATATACATTAATTTTCATCCACCGATATCTTTAATAGGATTTTATCATTTTATTTAGGATGTTCATTTTGAATTATGAACTCTTCCAAAGATATTATATTTCAAAATAAATCTTCTAAAGATTTTAATTCCTAAATTAAAATTAATATTATTATTCTCAATAATAATAGAAGATCTTCTATATTTTTTCTATTTCAAAAATAGAAAGCTTTTTAAATAAATGAGGACATTTTAAATTCATTGAATCTTAAATACTTTTAAAATTTAATAAATTTGGACATTTTAGTTCGTGTTAGACCATTCTTGTATGCAACTTTGTAGGCTCATATAATGTTGGCAATGGGACTAAAATACAAGAGCATGAGTCACATTTCATACTATCACATGACATCTAGATCAAGCATGAGACATGGAGACATCACTCTTGTATTGCTTAACCATACTTTCTCAATCTTGAAGTAAACTCACAAGACAAATGAAACTTATTTCATTTGAGCATGGTTATGCATTTCTTAGCCTTGCACATCAAGGGAGCTAAAGATATCTCTCTCATAATGAGAGGAACAAGTCCCATCTTGACTACTCATTTTCTCCACATGGATTCCACTATGCATGCTTACTCACAACCTTTATGATCACTAGTTAAAAGTGACTTTTGATCATGTCAAAACATACTATTTCTCATATAGGAATCTATGGTAATCTTAGGTCTTAGAGTTAAATGGCACAGTTATAGTGAGATATGCTTATGACCTAGTCCATGTAGCTATCTCATGAT